GGGGGGGTGGGCGGGCGGCTGTGGTAACCGCGCTGCGGCCGAGGGCTCGGTGGCGGGCTCGGGAATAACCGGGGCCGCTTTCGCTTCCCGCCGGGAGGCGGTTCGGGATCCCCCCCCTCCGCTTCCCGGGCCGTCTGCTGACAAAGCCCGCAGGAGTCATTGTCAGGATACAAAGAACCTGCCTCCCCCGGCTGTGAGGAGCCGGCTGCTCTGCCAACAGCTCTTGCTTGGCTTTAAATCCCGGATGGGTCAAGCGTTCGGTCTTTTCCTACAGGATTTAAAAAAAAAAAAAAAAAAGCTGTTTTTCCTTACCTTCCCTTTACAAAGTATTATTTCTAACTGTCTTAATCTGCGTTTAGAGCTGGAAAGGGGTGACTCCCTAAAAATGATCTCTTGGCGTTATTCTCTGTCGGTTTTGCTGATGGTCATCGCTGCTAGTTCAGTTTCTTTCCAGGGAGAAAAAAAGCGAAGTGGGTTTTCGTTCTTAAATTAATTAATAAAGATGGTCATATTTAGATTTCATTCATCCCTTTCGTTGCGCTTGCATCGGGAGGTTAGGTTGCTTTTCTGTTGCTAATGAAAACAAATTCTGTGTTAGGGAGTTTTTTTCCCATCACTATTAGCAAACAGCCACCTCGCTGCAGTCACCCCCCCTCAGAGGGTGGGTAATGGGGGCTCTGAGAGGACAGGACCTCGGTTTTTTATTGAGGTGTGTCCTGCTGCTCTGGGAAGTAACATCATCCTGGTCATGTACGTTCTAGATAACTTCTTAAATGAGACAACTTCGCTATAAAACCATTAGCTTTAGATTCAGTAATGGGGGTTGCATTGTGCCCGTTGGGCTTGAATCTGTATTCCCTGTGACCTTCTCCTGATGCTGTTCCATTAATTTGAATGGAACTATTACTGATGCCTTCTTACATTGATGGGAAGAGCCTGCATTTTTCCAGTGGAATAAATGTGCCTGTTTTGTGTTACCATTCTTCTTAGAAGTCCTTTTCACATCTTTAGCATGGTGCTAGGGAAGAAATGTAACTGGATGAAAGAAAAATGTGCTGTGATGACCATTGTCTTTTAAAGGAAAATGAGCTTCTTCCTCATTTCAATAATTTTTCCTTCAGGCCCCTTCAGAACAGTAGAGTTTGTTTCATTTCTAATTTTAGCCAGAGGGAGCTTTTATAGGTATTGGCTTTTAAGGCAGTCAGTGGCCTCTGCGTAAATGACTGTCGCTGATTGATCGTGTGAGGGCAGACTGGACCAAACACACCTCATGAAGAAGTTCATCTTACCAGCTTTGCCAGCTAAAGTCAGTGATACAGTCAGTCTTTCTTTTTTTTTTTTCCTAAAGAAGAGAAGGGAAAAAAGGCAGGAAATTAAAACCCAACCTTAAATTGTCTTTCTCTTCCTTCCCCTACAAAACCCCAGCTTAATCATAGTAGGCTAATCATAGTAGGGTTCTAGCCGTTTGTTATTTTCACTAGCAAAAAAATGTCAGTCTTTCCCCATGTTTGTGAGCTTGCATTGCCTCTTGTTCCATCAAAAAGTTGTTGACAGACTTTTCTGAAATAATACGATGGAATAGCAGAAAAACATGCGAGGGATGGCTTGGGCAGTAGACTGCTGTTTTCCTTGCCCTACCTACAGATCCCAGAAACAGTGCGTCTGTGTGAGTGCCCTCAGGCTCTGAAGACATCAGAACCCCGACATCTTCACACTCTCTTCAGTTACACTGTCAATGGTTAGGTTTTACTTAAAATACGCTCCCAGTGGAGAGAAGTGACGTGGTTTAGTCTTCGCCCTGCTTTTGATCCCAATTCAATGGAAAATAACACATGGAACAGTAAATACAGTTCTAGAGTCTCCTTTTAAAGTAAGGAGGTTAGGTGTAGCATCAGTGATGGTACACGCTCATGGTCCAAGTTTATTAATTAAATGAGATGGTTCACTTTTGTTCATGTCATCATCTGATGTTACCATAACTTTGCTAAAAATTTGGTGAAGGTTGCAGGGATGTACCACTATTGATCAACGTTTGATGTCCCACAAGAGCTCCTGTTGAAGCAGGACCTCTTAATTTTTCAGCTATCTATGCAAGGGTTTGGGCTACCAAACATCATCAAGAAAACCTCCCGTATCAACTATTTTAAAGTGAACCTTTGACAGAATACATGCAGTGAAGGAAGCTCTATTAATTACTAGCAAACTTCCTGTTAGAAATGGTGCGAGTGGACTACAAAGGGAGTTTGGTCCCATTTTCTCGGATTTCTTAGAAACAGGGATAAAGGTAGTATATATTCTTTCTGTGTTATTACCAGTTTAGGTTGCTCTAAAGGTGAAGCCCGTCTTGCTGTGCAGTTCAGAAAGGGTCAGTAAAAATGCCTTCCTTCTCACCTCCCCTTGGAAAATTTATAAGCGGTTTTTACAAAATTAGTCTGCACTGTAGTGGTTTTTACCGCCATTTTACCACTCATTCTTGTAATACAGCTGGACTACTGTAGACACCACAGTCAAATCAGAAGAGAGCCCTTTTTGCACTGCAAGTGATAATTAGAACAGATGTAAAGTAAACACGGATTTTATGACAGTATTCTAATCATCTTTTGATGTTGCCTCTCTAGCAAACTAATTCTGTACAAAATTATGTCACACGTTTTCAGTACTACGCATTTTCTGCCTTGCACACGTACAGCAACACATCTTGTGCTTTCTTTCAATCCCTCCAATGCCTGTAAACTTTGGCTTAGAAAAATTTTTATTAGAAATCTGCAATTAATGCTGTTTTTAAAAAAACAAGATTTGTTTATTGGTGCTCAGAACCCCTGACGGTGGGGGAAAAAATGTGCTGCTTCTATTCAGCAGAAAAGAATAGCATCTATTCTATTTAGTGAAATGCATCATAGCTCTTCATTTCGCTGCCAATTAGAATGAGTGCACTCATAAGCCAGCACAGGTTATATGCTCTAGATCAGTTTGTTGTGCAATAGAGAGCTGTTGGAGAACATTATATTTTATTTAGCTTTCTGTAATAATTTTATTGCTGTATATTTGGAATTAAATTATTTTATTACTTATTCATGGAACATGTGATTGCTTCTCAGTCCCTGGTAGTGGAGGATTCTGTGAGTTTATTACTCTTTCTGGTCATGTTAGGCTTAAGTACCTAAGTGGGCTGGTGGTGATACTATACCCTGTGTTCTCAGTGCCCACAGATATGTTTATATTTTTGTTTTTACAGTAGCAAAATTGAACGTCTTACAAGACAGCGATGGCTTTTTCTCTAGAATATGAAAATGGAGGCCACAGGGACAGATGAAGTAGAAAAGATAAAATCAAAGTTTATGTCTGCATGGCACAACATGAAATACAGTAAGTGAAACAGTGTATGGTAAGATCTTGTCTCCACTGAAATGAATGGAATGTTTCTTGTTGACATGTATGGGATCATAATTCAGCAACTTAACTAATATTAGTAATAAAAATGCAACGTGGCCCTTAAAACCATTTTTCCTTTGATACCATAAACAGCCCGAGTAAAAAAAAAACTGCTTTAGCTTTTCATTTTTCAAACATATTTGCATAATTTCCTTTTAAATTACTTATTTTGAAAACAGTAAATACATTATGTAAATGACACTAGATTTGCATGGACTTTTAAACAGGGATAATATGGAATCATCTGTGCAAAGATTTTTTATTTTTGTATGTACTTTTCTGAAAAAATAGGATGGTGTGTGAAACAAAGTCCACTGAAGAATCTACTTCACACACTTGAGTAATATACTCTTCCACAGTTAAAGATCAGTAATTTGTTTATAAGCAACCAGATTTTCAAGTGTGTCCTTTACTTATCTGTCCTTAACCTTAATTTTTCTACTTTCCCTCTAGGACTGAGGTTGCTCAGATTTACCACCAGGTTTCTGATAAGTTTTGTTAATTCTCATAAATGAGCCTTGGAGATGTCTGGCAAGATGAAAGGATACTTTTCTTCTACTTTATTTAAGGCTACCACATGGCTGAAGGGGAATAGTAGTCATTACACCCTATATGTGATAGGAAAAGTGCAAGAAACTCTATGGATTTAGGATATAAAAGACCATAGGGTTTAGACTTAAGTGAAAAAGCTACTGTCTGGGGACATTGTCAAAACCTAAAAACTGAATTCTGGCCCTTTGAATTTGTATAGCATATTATACTACCTTTTTTGTGTCCAAAATCTGCAATTTAATTTTGCAATGAAGTATGTTTAATTAATCCTATGGGAAAAGCAGTACTCTTCATGCGTTTTCACTGGTCATACATGAAGCTTATTTTATGTTATTATAGGAGTTGGAAACCTCACAGAGTCAAACTATGCAGTAATGAATTCACAATAAAGACAAAGCAACTTAAGTTCAGCTTTAGCATTTCTGTATCCTAACAATTTCTGCACAGTAGTACCATTGTATTAACATTCAAACATTCATATATGGGTAACATCGTTACTTTTAAACCAGAACTCTAATCTGTGTTTTGTAGAACTATTAAACTTTTTGTTATTTATAAAAGCAAAACCCAATTTCAGTACATTTTCGCTATATTCCCCTTTCAAGGGTTACCTTTGTCTTAACCAGATGCTATTAGCAATTCCTTTTTGGAATACTTCAGTCACAAATTTGTATTTGTTTTGCGTCTGTTTTAGGTTGGGTGTTGAAAACAAAAACTTACT